ATTGAATTTCCAATAATTTGAGACAATCATTCTCCTCAAGTTTTCATAGATGTTAGAACTCAGGGAAGGAATGATAGCACCAGAGGAAATAGAAAATGCCATTTATTGCTTCCACATAATCATTTTGCTTTGCTTTTCAGTTTATATGCCATCTGTTATGCTGGCTGTATTTAATGATAACCTTTGGGCCAACATTTTCTGAATGTCAAAAAAATCACTGACATTCTATAGAAGCCATGAACTTCACCTGGAGGAATTCAGGTCAAGAAATGATCCTATGGTAACAGCCCTTGTGCTGTGCCTCTGGGTTTGTCTTAGATTGGACAATATGGGATTGTTCATTACTTGTACCTTGCACTTACACAGGGAGTCTTGGAGTTTTACAAATGAAAGATCAATAATACACGCTGTGTGACAACAGCACTCTCAGGCCGACTGCCCTGCATAGCAGGTGTCCTTTCTTCTTAGACCAGCACACATCTTGGGCTTGCTGTGTGACTGGGCCCCCTCATCAAAAAAGCTTGGCTTGATATTTATCACCTCATCCTAGTTGTACCAAATTTAGTATTGGTCTATTAATTTTAGGGTTTAGCGTTCAATCACAAAACTGAATAGCAGTCCACTAAGTCTCATTAATATCCCTTATTCCAGAGAACATTATTTAGAAGGCTTACTGTCGAGTTCTTCTGAGCTTTCTTCTTTCTTTGCTTTTGAATAATATTTGCTATTTCAGTTTTAAAGTCTATTGTATAATAAAATCCTAATTATCTTTTCTAGTGATGTTTTTATTACTGTATAGTTTCCACTTACAAACTATTTCACTACCCAAAATAAAATGAGGACAATCAACGAACTTTGCCATTCTGTCAAATACATCTCCAGCATTCCAGGGCAGAGCCCTGAGTTATAAGAACTGATACACTGAAGGCAAAGAATTGGTGGCAGCATCTAAGGCCAGGCTGGGATGGAAGTTCTCTCCTTTGTTAAGTTAAGAAAAGGCAGTATAGAAGAAACTCCCATTGATGAGACAGGATTCTAGGAAGCAGGCAAGAAACACAATGGAGTCCACATAGTTAGCTAGTTTCCTTTCTTTTACTAAAATTGTTCTATAAGTTGGTCATATAATCAAACTAGGGAAGCTATCTGTCTGCCAGGAAAAACAACAGTTAGGAAAAAGTTCCCACCAATAGATAAAAAGAAGGATCATTCAACACACATTTCCACAGAATAACTGCTGTACCATCATCACAAGTAAGGCCATGTATTGTCATATATTGTCCATCTCCTAGTTACACTGTCCCAAATGTCCAAAGAACAGCTTTTTAAGCATTTACATTATTTTTATTTTATTATTTTATGTGTATGGGTGTTTTGCCAACATGTATGTCTCTGTACCACATTCATGCATGGCCCACTGAGGTCAAAAGAGGAAATTGGTTCCCCTAGAGTTAGAAACAGTTGTGAGCTGCCATGTGGCTGTTAGGAATAGAACCTGGGTCCTCTGGAAAAGCAGCAAGTGCTCTTAACTGCTGAGCCATCTCTCTAGCCCCATATAGCTTTTATTTTTTTCCCAAAGGAGGATACAGACAAGATCCATGCACTGCATTTGCTACCTTTCACCCTTTGGTCTCATTTAATTTCACAGCAGCCTGCTCCATATTTTTTTTACCTCATGAAGTGACTTCTTGAAGGATTGGGACCCTTTGTCCCAACAGCCACTTTATCATATTTTTAAATATATTCTTAATTGACAAGAAAGCAAAAGATAGTAAGTAGTCAAATATCTCCTCATGAAAAGTGATGCTTAGCTCCATTTGAGGGCTACTGGGGGTGAACCTGAGTTCTGGATTTAATAGCCAACCATCAGAAAACATGGAATGTCATAAAAAAAGATAACTGAAATGCATCCTTGTTTATGTCAGTGTGCATGCCTCTCCACATACCATATGAGTACCCATCAAGTTCCTTTTTTTTTTCCTTTGTGAGAGATTCACCAAAATAGAGACATCCTTTGAGGGTTAGATTATTAGTGAACTAGTAAGACTGGGAAGAACACATTTGATTCTAACTGTCCTGTCCAGATGATTGTTTTCCTCACACTCTATTTATGGTCCAGAACGTCTATGAAATTCGTACTTACCTTTCTTAGTCTGACAAGGGCAGACCAGTTAAGCCAGCTGTATCACTAGCTTACTTGTTCATATATCCACTTCCTTTTAGACTGGAACAGAAAGCCTTAATGCCACCAAGAAACACAAGAGCCACTTTAATTCAATACTGCTAATTACCACGTGAAGAAACATTTTGATGGGTCACAAGAGACTCAAGTCAGTGTTCGAACAAGATCTGAGTGGCATTCAAGTCCCCTGATATCTAATCTAATATCTGTTTTTAAAAGTCTGCTTTTCCAGAACTCACATGACATGTGTAATCTCTAGTGCCATCAGATAAAACTGTTAAATCACTTTTCCCTTATAGATATGGTTCTCCAGCAGCAAGTCTTGTGCCTTTTGAAACTGCGTAGCACCAGCAGACATTCTGTCTTGACCAAATCACCGGAGAGTTGATATTTACAGCCATATTTTGGATACATAATGTCAATAGGTTTTAATTTTCCTGTCCCTTCTTGATGTTTCAGTTTGACTGTCCTCATCTGTAGGTACCAACTAGCAAGAAGTACCAGAATATAGGAAGGAAATCACCATGTACGAATACATGGCAACTGTGATCTGTTGCGATAACAGCAAACTCAACGGCAAGGCCCGTGAGGCTTGAAATACAATTCTGTTTCGCAACTGTGACCTCCCTTATATATGCAAACTAGGCAGAGGTCACCTGTCTCCTTCTGTGTCATCCAATCAGACTGTGCCTAAAGACTGTTCTAGTCTAGAAACCCCCCTGAAGAAGAATGCGGTCAAGGGATAATATTAGATAGCTGCAGAGAAGAAACAGGTAAGTCCCCTCCATGCATGCCTACCTGCTACAATATTACCAAGCAGCCCTCCTACAGGAGAGTAGTTTTCATAGGAGTAAGAGCTCAGAATTCTAATTTTGTAAATAGAGTAGTCTACCCCCCCCAAAAAAAATCAGAAAACCCATGACTGTCTATAACTGAGACCAAACAAAACTGTATCATGAGTCATCTGAACGTTTGTGAACTCAACTGAGCACAGAAGCCCTATATGAGCATATAGCAATGTGCTCATAGGACTGTGAATCTTCTGTTAAACAGTCACAAGTCTACTCACCTGCCTCCTCCTCCTCAGTCCTGACTCTCATACGCAGTCGCAGATACCACTGTACACACAGTGAAATGGAATTATTTCCCTCTCTCTGGGGGAGCTGCATCCTCCATTCCCAAGGGTGGTGTAGGCTGACCATTTTGAATTCTGGATGTTTGTATGTCAGCAAGTACCTATATTCATTTCAGCTTCCTGAAGCATTTATGAACATAGGTTAGTCATATTTCAGCCACAATATGGGAGATAAGACAGCCAGGGGATCTCATAGGTAGGCTGTGAGTAATAAATAATGAAAAAGCACTTTGCAAAATATGAAGTATGATCCTAATGCACAATAGCATAAGATACTTTACTTTCCCATTAGCCTACTTCATCACGAGCTGCCTTGCAGGGAGGCAAATGCTGGACATCACCAGCCCAGCCTCCAGTTATGGAATAGGTCACAGAGAGCAAAGTAACTTTGGCTGTGACTGTTTCATCTGAAATGAAACGAGCTCATTACATTTTTCAAGAAGGCACCTCATTCTTGAGGGTCTCATGACCCCCATTTACTGTTCAAAACTAAACTTTTTAATAAGGTAAAAACTGATTTAATCTATTCATTTCATCTGCAAAAATAGCACTAACAATGTATCGATTTTTTTGCTTTCATAAAGAAGGCTGCTTATTACCAGATATTCAAGCATCGGACAGTCTAATAAACAGACAGCACATAGAGTTAGAATTATCAATAAGGGCTCCAAACCAGCGATTCATTTTCCTGTACTGGACCTCAGAAATTAGCCCCTTTTCAAACTGGTCTGTAACTGATAACTGAAATGCAATTGTACACACAAGGCTGACACCACAGAAAAACTAATAAATGTGGGCTAGGAATATAGCTCCGCTGGTGGAGTGTTTGCCTAGCATGTGTGAAATCCTCAGGGTTTGGATCCCCAGCACTGCATACACTGGATGTGGTAGTGTACACCTGTGATTCCAAACTTGGGAGGGGGAGGCAGGAGCATTAGAAGTTTAAGGTCATCCTTTGCTACGTGGTGAGTTGGAGGTCAGCCTAGCCTACATTAGCGGATCTTGTCAAAGACAGAGAGGGAGGGAGGAAAAAAGGAGGGAGGGGCTGCTGAGTAGACAAGAAGTGGTATAAGCCCAGGCTTCTGAAAAACAACTCTTCTTGTGAAGCTGAGAACACGGCGTGAATCAGCCAAGTACTCGACCGACCGCCTTTTGTGAATTTAAATTCAAAATGAGGTGACAAATATGTATCATATGAAGGAGTAAGCATTCTGTTTTATATATAATTTTTTTATTTTTATTTTATGTGTATTGGTGTTTTGTCTGTGTGAGGGTCCCCTGGTCCCCTGGAACTGGAGTTACAGACAGTTGTGAGCTGCCATATGCATGCTGAGAATTGAACCCGGGTCTTTTGGAAGAGCAGTCAGTGCTCTTAACCACTAAGCCATGTCTCCAGCCCAGGAGTAAGCATTCTATAAAGTATTCCATGCAGAAACTGTCAACATTCTTTTTCTACCTCCATCCACCTCACTCCCACAAAGATGGGAAGAGCTACTCACTGCAAATTGCACATTTAATGAAAGTTGTCGTTGCCAAAGGTTCCTCTGTCTTCTTTGGAAATGAAAGTGCTTCTTACATAGTCACATATGTTCAAGTAAAACGTTGAGCTGTCTGGGATTGCTTCAGAATAATAGTGGTAAGGAAAGGGGGATGCACAGATCAAAGCCGATTGGTCAGGGGTGGTAACTGTTGTAATGAATGGTGGATACATTTAATTGAATTGCTTTGCACCTTTGTGTGTTTGAACAGTTCCATGAGGAGTTTAGAGACTACAAACTGCCTTGGGGAGCAATCTTGAATACAGGTCATCAGGAGTAACATTGAGTGATTTATCACTCATTTTTCTCTGGCGAGCAGAAAGACAAACCAGACTCCACAGTGTCCACTGAAAGGTGAACTCAAAGGGAAAAGGGGGTGGTGGGGATTCCCAGGCGCTGAAGACTTCTTTGTCACCAGCCTCACCACCATATCTGGCTAGGCCTGTGGCTACTAGGAACTGATGATGTCATTCATGAGAGGAGACCTTAGACTATAGATCTCCTTAATGGTTATAAACACATTTGAATGGGAGTACACAGGCAACCCCAGTACCTCTGTGATGGACTCTCCAAAAACTCACATCTCTAGTGTTTAATATGAATGACAGTTAGTGTTAATTGTTAACTTGGCAAAATCTAGAGTCACCTGGAGGATGGGCTGCTGGGCACCCTGTGGAGGGTTATCTTGATTGCATGAATTGAGGTGAGAAGCCCCAACAAAGGGAGCTGAACAACAAGCAGGCATTCCTTCCTGTCTCTTTCCTGACTGTGAATGTGATCTGCCCAGCTGCTTCGAGCTCCTGCTTCCTTGATTTGCCTACCACAATGGATGAGACAGTCCACATGGAACTGTGAGGCAGAGTCAATCCTTTCTCCACTAAGTTGCTTTTGTCAGCGAAAAGGAAATAATACAATAAAATTATCACATGCAACTGACACCACACACTGGGAGAATCATGGCTTTCACATCAGACACCAGAATAAATAAAAGTATGTTTCAGAAAACAAATTGGAGCCCACGCTATTTCTAGAAGAAACAAAAAAAAGTGTCTGCACATTTTCCACCTTAATGCATTCTGTTTACCAATTCTGAATCTTGCTAACATTAAGGACAAATAATCATAAATAGATGTGGGACTGATGTCTCCTCCACAATCTAATCTCATCCTCCTTCTCTTTTTGATTTTTCTCTACTGAAGTATTTGAAAAGCTAAACATACATCTACCAGAAAATCTGACAGCTATTGCTGACCATGTGCAGGACGTGTTGTCTGGAGACAACAAGGAACAATGAAGAAGCACCAGGCTAATATGCTAAGGCAGAACTCAACGACAGCAGCAGTGTGACTCCTCATGGCACAACTGTACCACAGCAGCACAAATGGGATGACTCTCAACAGGACCTGCTGCGAGAAAGCTGTGATGCTACTGTTCACTTGGGTGCTCGGGTGGCTGCAGCCAAAGGTACTTCTGCTTCAGGAAGGGTTAACACCTCTCTATGCAGACAAGAGCCTGAAAGGTGTGTGTGTCTGTGTGTATGTCTGTGTGTACATGTCTGTATGTGTATGTGTATGTATGTATATGTGTGTATGTGTCTGTGCACATGTGTGTCTGTGCATGTGTGTATGTGTCTGTGCACATGTGTGTCTGTGCATGTATATATATATATATATATATATATATATATATATATTTCCACCTAACTCAAATTTGGCCTCCCAACTTATAAACCTAACATGCTCCTTGTTTAACCTATGTTTAAAATGTAAAGCTATGTATTGGCATTTTCACATAGCTAGCCCATTTACTCGCCACCTTTATCCAGTAATAATGAAACAGGACTTTTAAAAAAAAAATGTTTTGCAGCTGAGGAGCCACAGTTCCAGAATGAAATAAGCATTCAACCTAAGACAACTGCAGACTATATTCCTCATAAAGGAATGGGAATCTGTGGTGACTCTTCTCACTGCGGCCCCACCCCATCTGAGGCAGAGCCCCAGGTCCAAGGGAGGCTCCTTGAACTGACTGTTGGGTCCTGACTTGAGAGAATGGCTAATATGTTGGTTTATAATAAAAATAAACACAGCGGCTTATTTCCCTGCTTTATGGAAATCACAACAAGCCCTCAGAGACAACATGTGAAAAGCACTATTAATTTTTACATCTATTCCTTAGACTCTGGGGTTTTCAGTTTTCAGGGAAACAACTAAGATCTCTGACACTTCAGTTGCACTTACAGATAATTGCTTGGAAAATGAAAAGGCCAAAAAGAAAATTAGAAGCTTCTAAAAGAGGAAACATAAAATCCTATAGAGAAGACAATCATTTTCAATACCGGTCATAATCATCACTAAAGGACAGTCTTTGCTTCGCCAACTTCTCATCTCCACTTCTCTCAGTGGAACTCCAACTTCTCCCTCGGAACTATTAATATGACCCTAACTGCAAACCATACATTAGAGTGAATCCCGAAGTCCATATGATTAAATGAAATATGTCTCATTCCTCCCAGACTCCAGAGTGATTTTATAACCAGATCCTTAGTCTCTAGCACAGGGCACCTGTGACAAGGGAATAAAGCTGTACTAAGTAAGTACTCACCTTGACAGTGTAATTGCTATCGTCCCACACTTGGGGAGGACCAGCCTTCAGAGGAAAAGAAAATCTGCACGTGCTGTAAGGGAAAGCTCTAGGTAGAAAAAGAAGTGAAGTGAAAAGAGGCAGTTTCAAATGTGATCCTTTGGGGAAAGGCAGACTTGAGGGTGCTACTGAATGGAGGGTTCTAATAAATGCAGAGACTTGGGACACTGAAGGGGTAGATGTAAAAGTGAACTATGAGAGATGGAAGGAGTCAGTCCAAAGCAGAGGTGACATAATGAACCAGACTATGCATAGAGGTGCTACAGAACAATGGGACGTGTGTGTGTGTGTGTGTGTGTGTGTGTGTGTGTGTGTGTGTGTGTGTGAGAGAGAGAGAGAGAGAGACACAGACAGAGAGAGAGAGACAGAGACAGAGACAGAGAGACAGAGACAGAGAGACTGTGTGTCTGTATGTCTATGTGTGGGCACACATGCACATGTGTGCCAGAGGTCAAGCTCAGTTGTCATTGCTCCTCAGGTGGTGTGTACATTTTGTTTTGACAGTTTCTCTCACTGGAACCTGGAGCTCACTGATTAGACAAGAAAAACTACCCAGGCAGCCCTGGAGACCTGTCTGCCTCTGTCTTGGCAGTGCTGATTACAAGCTTCCATCACCAAGCCTAGCTTTTTTTTTTTAATGCCTGCATTTTGCCATTGAAACTCAGGTCCTCTTGATTGTATGGCAAGCACTTAACTGACTGTCTATGTCCCCAGTCAGTGCCAGGATGGCTTTTTTTTTTTTTTTTTTTAACAGAATGACTAAGCATTTGCCTGAAAACCACACAGAAGGCTTTCCCCTTGAAAGGCCAGTATAGCAGCCAGCTCACCTCCAGTTGAAGGCAAAGGCCAGTAAGTATAAAGGTTTCCACAAGACAGCTCATAAGAAGCAGACTGCCTGGGAAGCAACTGGTGGTAAAACACCCTGGAGGCCACCGGCCCCACAAGCCACTCGAAGGAAAGCGCCCTCTAGAGGAGGGGTGAGTAAACATTATTCTTATAGGCCTAGTGTTGTGACACTCCATACAATTAGATGCTACCAGAAGTCCCCTTAACATCTCCATCACAGACTTCCCCCTTGCATCATCTAGAAGTTGTCCCGGATGTCAGAACACATCTGTGCTTCTGAGAACAGCTGCTGGCGCTTTGCAGGGTATAAGTAAGATGTACCTGATTCCTCCTTACCTGTGGGCTATCCATGACCAACATGTAACAAACACATCAAGACATATCCAACCGTCATGCCACATACATGAATAACTTATTTAGGAACCCACTATGGTAGGGAAATTTTTCTTGTTAATACGTTTTCTCATCTCTTCCTATTATAAATAGTCTTGTGTGCTTAATCTTCTTTCCACAGAATCAAAAAGTAGCTACATATATGATTGCAAGTGGGAAAACAGAGGACAGAAATCAGGTAGCAGTAATGCCTCCATTTTAATTTACATGTGAATTTTTAATATAAATGTTGGATATAAAGCATGGATGCAAGTCAGAATGTTTCAGTGAATAAGTTCCTGCTATCCAACTGTGTAACAATTTGGGTTTTTTTTTTTTTTTTTTTTGTTATCTCTTAAATTTTTCAGGACAATACCAGCTAAATTTCTTACCGCTAACTATCTAAAACCTTCCCAAATAAACAAAAATACCCAAAAAATACACCCACACTCACCAAGTTGGGGGGGGTATAAGATTTCATAGAAATTGAGAACAGACACATGGACATTTTGAACCATAGCCTACCTGGGTAGGCCCTGATAAAGGGAGGCCAACAAGGCACAAGGACACTCTCCATGCATGGAGGACATGTTGATGGTTTACCAAGCGTGCGTGTGAGAACCAAAGTTACATTTTAAGTTTGAATTATGCCTATGCCTAAGAGATCCAAGAGACAAAAATGCCTCTGATCTGCAAGCCCCTTGCCCAAGGTCATATAGTTCCTGAAATGCTGGAGGCTATTGTTTATGTAGGATAACAAACCAGGTTTTCACTTGCCTAAACTACATCAGATGTGCTGGATCACATGTGGGAGGGAAGTTCACAGGCAGGAAATATGTCAAGATGTATGGGACCTGATGAGAAATACTTTAAGTCCCTGCAAACCATGACTCAGTGCCATTTCCTGGGAACCTGGAATGGACCTAGTCAAAGCCCATCCACCTGGGCTATTTAATTAAAGCTTGCTTCAAATTTGACTTTAGACTGTAGTGGTGGTCTTATTCTTGGCCAGTGGGATTAACAGTCCAAGTGATAGCCAGGGCACGGCATGTGATGAAGGATGTCCATGAATGTGGCCCAACACAAAATTGTAAACTCACATTACTTTAAACATTATTAATATTTTTGTGGGGGAGGGTAAGTTTATTGTGTGACTCTTGAGCTTGAACTCTGTAGATAACAGTGTCATTTTGCAATGTCAAAAGATTGGACATGCCGGGGCCCTAAGCTATCACATAAGATACTTGTTCATGATACACAGAGCCTTGTAGCTGCAAGCATAGAAAATAATCACAAGTACAGAAAGTAATTGTTACACCAGAAGCTGGGCATGATCATGCATCCCTAAAAATCTCAGCACTTTGGAAGTATAGGCAGGAAGATCAGGAGTTCAAAGACACCCTTGGCTATATAAGACCCTTAGAAAAAAGTAACTGTTCTATCAAGTCAGGCCCTAGTACTTTCAGCCAAACTTTTCTGCATGCACCAATAAGATGATAAATCAAGGGAGAACATATTAGTATGAAAGTCCTCAATGCCTTTCACGCCTCAATAGAACTTTAAAGCCTTGGGATTTCTGAACTTTGTGTGTGTGTGTGTGTGTGTGTGTGTGTGTGTGTGTGTGTGTGTGTGTGTGTGTGTATGCATGCATGTATCATGTATGTATGTATGGATGTGCGTAAATCTTGTTTTTAAATTTTTAAGTGAAATATTCTCTGGGGCAGAAAAAGGAAGGATCAAGAGTGTTAGGAAATACTATGAAGGTTCCTATGCACTTTTAAATATTCAGGGAATATGTTATTTAAAACACACCTGATATCAAGTCTTTCTTATTACAGATGGACCTAGGATTGGAGAATATGCTTTTTGAACTATTTCCCAAGAGTCAGAAAACTGAGACTCAGGCATTTACAACAGCAAATGGGAAAATTCCTGACGATGCTGAGGTGATAAGTCTGTGCCAGTTAACTCCCAATTCATCCATCTGTACGTGGTCTGTGGATAATAAAAGTTCACATAAACATTTCTGCTTTACAGTATGTGCAATGTCACCTCTTGCCAGTAGAGGGCACTTGAGGGACACTGTGGAGGGAGCCGCTTTAGTTTCTGCCAATTGTATTGTGGAGTGGGTCAGCATTGTTGACATAAGGACATTTGGGGAAGGCATATGTAGACAGATAAGTCAGAATGGACACACATCATGAAGATAACAGGTAAACAAAATGATACACCCAGAGAATGTCAGTCAGGTTCTTTCTCCAGCCACCTGAGTGCTTGCTGGATGAAGAGTTAAACAAAGTAGCCACAATGACAGAGGCTTTGCATAGGGGAAAAAACAACAATGCAAGCTTCCTCTCAGGAAGATGATGAAGATGAACATGAAGACCTGGATATGGTACCTGTCCTCAGATGGACCCATAGGCCACCAGATAGTAGGCCTTAAACATATCTTTAGCAGAAAAAAAAAGGCAAAATATTTGTACTCTTTTACTTACATAAATTCTTGTATATAGGAAAGGTTTATCCTTCCTAGTAATGATTCTGCTAGACCTGTCATCCATGGGCTCACAGAATGTTTAATATAAAATTATGGCATTCCATCTTGCATCTCATCAATCTCGTCAAAAAAATGCATCTCAGAAAAGGAAGTGAAGCAATGACCTTACACACATGGCTATAATTAGTCTCATGGAATAACCCATTGCCCAGAAATAGCTGGTCCAGTTGAGATGTGGAATACTTTGTGGAAACCCAGCGGCAGTGCCGGTTCAAGGAAATATCTTAACTGGATTGGATTAAAGTCTCAAAGGAGTCTATTTACCTAGAGACCATAATATGATGGCATCTTACCCATTCCCAGTTAGGGTTTAAAAGCTCATGTGGACGGCCCTGCTTCCCGAAGCTTTGATTTTCATTCCTTACCTAGGTTGGAGACTAGTTCCCAAGGTAAGACTGCTTCCACTAGGGAGGACGACAGGGACTCCACTCCACTGGAGGGAAAGAGTGCCGAGAGATATTTTTGTCTCCTTGTGCCATTGAGCAAACTGGCATAAAGAGGAGCTAATCTGGGCCTAGAGATATGGCTCAGTAGGTTAAGCACTTGCTACACAACCAGGAGGATGAGAGTACAGATCCCCAGCAACATGTGTCCGTAATGCAAGTACTTCTGTGTCGAGACGGGGGCAAGGACAGAAGCTGGTGGGACAGGTAGCCTAGTGTACACAGTAGGAATTAAGAGACCTTTCCTCAAACAAGGCAGAAGGTAAGAACTGACATATAAGACTAGCCTCTGACTTCCACATGCATCTGCCCACACTAAAAACATGCATACACATCATCACAGGTTTTATTTTTTTTATTACTCTTAAACGCTTTTACTATTTGTATTTATGTGCCAATAGAGGCCAGATGAAGGGCTCGGATGCCCTGGAACTAGAGTTACAGGCAGTTAAAACAGCTAAAAGTGGATGCTGGAAACAGCCCTCTAGTCCTCTGGAATATGCAAGTGCTCTTAACTGCTTGGTCACGTCTATAGCTCCCAAGATTTTTCTTTTCTTTTTTTTTTTTAAAGAGGGGCTAATCTACTAACTAGACTGACTGGCCTGATCACAAAAGAGAAATCAGGTGAATGTTACATGTTAGAATCATGGAAGTTTGAAGGGAAACTATATGAAAGCTGAGAGAGAGGTCAGTTGGTAAAGTGCTTGCCTTGCAAGCCCGAGAAGCAAAATTCAATACCCAGTATCCAAGCAAAAGCCATTGCCGAAGAAGTGGAGACAAGAGGTGATGTAGGGCTCACTGACTAGCCCACCTAGCCTACTTGGTAAGTGCCAGCCCAGTGAGGGACTCATTCCAAAGGAAGTAGACCGTCTTCCTATGGATGCCACCTAAGCTTGTCTTCTGAAATCCATGTGGATGCATATACATACACATGTGCCCACATATACATACACAGAAAAAAATTATCTTTTAAAGAAAGACTTTGAGTGGTCTGTTGAAACTTGGAAAAATTCTAACCATTATATCTACAGGCATGACAAAGGATAGGTTAAAACATTTTATTTTTTCCATTTGATGGAGGTGTAAGGTAGGCTACAAGGGATCAGATGTCGGGGAGTGTGCAGTGTAAATAGGCAGTGAACCAAAGATGTTTTTATTTAGGGTCAGTTGATTTCTGGAGTGATCATTAAGAAGTTCCTCTGCATTCTGACATTTGTGAAGGCTGAGAATGGACAAAGAAAGTTCATCACCTTGTGGAGAGAGTGGAAGCCAGGCTCCAGTTTGCTCAGACAAAGATAGTTGGTATTTGTCTATAGTGGTCAACAGGTACTAATAGTCCTGTTTTATTTACACGAAAAGGGATGAGAATTTGGAGAGCCTGGCCTTGTCATAAGTAAACATGGTATGTTTGTATGTGTGAGTGCTGTATAAGTCATATGAGGAAAGGTGATCAATTCTTTACAGGATTATTTGCTAGAATACAAGAGTGCGGAACAGTCAGGCCTAGTGGTACATACTTCCAATCCTAGTGCTGGGGAGACTGGCAGAATTGTGGATTTGAGTTAGAATTCATACCTGGAAAAAACTGATTCTCCCTCTCTTAGCAGCCATTAATTGCCTGTGGCTCTTCATTCAAGGAAAAGGTTATGGGATTTCTCTCACCCCAGTGTATTGTACACATATATAAATTTAAATGATGTTATGCACCTTGGGGGTGATACTGATTGCCACAAGAGCCTTAGACTACCTAACAAAAACCCAGTGCCAGGCATAGGAATCTTCCCTTCAAATGGAAGGTCAGGGTAGTCCAGTAAACTCTAAAAACAATATGTTACTGCCATTGCCCTTGATTGCTTTCCAGAACTTGAAGAAAGACCTCGTTGCTGAAGACATGACTCATTCCAGACACAAGACTTGGAGAAATGGAGCTGGAACTGACCTGGAAGCCTCTTCCCTGAGGTCTAGTTCTCCAGAGCATCTAAAGGTGCTATCTATATAAGCTGCCAAGGGAGAAATGCCATCGACAGTCCAACTCAGCTCTAAATGTTATAAGTCTTTCATTATTAAAATGGAAGTGAGTCGTCTAAATATGTTCAACCAGCTCTTCAGTGATCATATCCTGAGCCTGAGTTGG